GCATTTCACGGAAAAATGTCTTAAATAAAAGGTTAATGTGACTAAAGGAAACATTATTTGGTGCTACCGCTAGCCACCCCCTACCCCTCCTTAAGGGTGAAACGGGGGGTAACTTTGGAAAGTCAAATGGAATGACCCGATTTTTTTCACAGAGTTTGGTAGTACATAAAAAAATAAATAACTTTTATTTAAAACTTTTTTCAATTTATCAACAGATGGCGCTGTAATTCAAAATTTAAGAAAAATGAGTTTCCTTGTAAAATGTATTATTTGAAAAGTTTAAAAAACAAAAATTAACATTAACAACAATAGTCGGCTATGAAAACAATTTATAACAAATGTTCGAAATGTCGTCATTCCATTTCAACACATTTTTGAATGCGGGTAATGAATTCTGGCACACAACGCACCAACATGTCGGGCGGTATCGCCGCACAGGCGTTCCTGATCCGCTCCACCATGTCCTCCCAAGTTGTAGGAATTGCAGCGTAAACTTTTTCTTTCAAGTAACCCCACTGGAAGAAGTCTGGTGGCGTAAGATCAGGTGATCGAGCAGGCCAAATTACTGGACCACGTCTACCGATCCACCGCGGTGCACCGGCCATTGAACTCCCGATCCAACACCTCTCGAGCAATTGTCGAATAATGTGCAGGACAACCATCTTGCTGGTATCACATGTTTTGGAGCCGTGCTAGTGGTACATCCTCCAAAAGGTCTGTCAGATCGTTTTCTAGAAAATTCCGGTACTTTTCGCCATTCAATGCACCGTCAATAAAGAAGGGTCCGATTAATCGTTCGCTTAAGGTACCGCACCAAACGTTTACCGACCAGGGACGCTGGTGCTCCACTTGGTGTCGAAATGGAAGGACGACATTTCGAACATTTGTTATAAATTGTTTTCAGAGCCGACTGTTGTTGATTTAATGTTAATTTTTGTTTTTCAAACGTTTCAAATAATACATTTTACAAGGAAACCCCTTTTTCTTAAATTTTGAATTACAGCGCCATCTGTTGATAAATTTAAAAAACTTTCAAATAAAAGTTATTCATTTTTTTATGTACTACCAAACTCTGTGAAAAAAATTGGGTCATTCCATTTGACTTTCCAAAGTTACCCCCCGTTTCACCCTTAAGGAGGAGTAGGGGGTGGCTAGCGGTAGCACCAAATAATGTCCCCTTTGGTCACATTAACCTTTTATTTAAAACATTTTTCCGTGAAATGCGTATTTCTCGAGATATTGAGCAGTCTCAAGTTAAAAGAAACACCCTGTATATATAATAATAATAATAATAATATTTATTCATCCATAAAACAAATTACAAAACACAATTTGCTTAGAAGACTAGTCAATAAAAAGCAAAAATTAATTAAAAGAAAAACAATCTTACAATTACATTAAATAATTAAAATATAATAGAATAAAATACAATATTTTTAAAAACTATCATTAAAAAATTCATTAACTGAATAGTACATTTTTTCCAACAAAAAATTTCTCAATTTTTTCTTTAAAATATTATTATTTTCACAAGACATAATAATTCTTGAAGCTTTGTTATGAAACTTTATACCATGATATGCAAATGCCTGCGCAACTGATAAAATATCAAAGACTTTGCTTAATTGACTGGATAGGCTGATGGATCTGTAATTGTTTGGATCATTTTTGGAACATTTGTTCTTATATACTGGTCAGAGACAAGGAGGAGACTGGAAACTCGTATAGAAATTCTTATTCGGTCGACTGTAATCAAGGCTAAAGGTAAACGCAGATGGCGCTGATACCAATCTCGAGAAAAGCTCATATTCTACAAAAAAAACAGGGAAATTTGAATTTAAATACTTAAAATTATCGCTAGATGGCGCTTATATATGGAAAAATCGCGGATAATTTGAAATTTCTGAAAAAACCCGGGAAATTTGAATTTAGATACCTAAAATTAATGGTATTTTTTAACATTTGATTTTAAGTATCTAAATTCAAATTTCCCGTTTTTTTTTCAGTAAATTCAAATTACCCGCAAGTTTTTTTCCTATATAATATATTATTTTATAATTTCGAGATCGGCCGCTTCATCAGGACCCCTATTCTTGACTGCAAGAGAAAATATCCGCCGGAGAGCTCTACCTGTAATAGAACGAACATTCACATCCCCGAAATTTTCTCTCGGTATGCCAAAGTCGTATTCTAGACGGATTACCGTGAAAAGCATGTTGCCATATTTATATACTGTATTTGCCCAATCAAATGAAAGTAATTTAAATTTCCCGCGTAAGTTGGCTAATGTCACATTTGAAATGTGATTAATAACCTAGATGTAATAGTTTTTTTGCAAATTCAAAGAGTTTTTGTGTATTAGTTATTACTAGTCAAAATGGAACAAAAAGTAACTTTTAAGTAACAATTTTGCAGAATTGACTAAAAAAGAGGCACATGCATTATGGCAGGAACTTGCTATAACATTAAATAGTGTCCAAGCAAAGATTATTAGCTCTAAAATATCTCATAAATTTTATTTCTGATGACAGAAATGGATTTTCCCGGTTTAAAACAACTCGATTGGGTTCATCTGCTTGTTCTTCAGCATCTTGCAAGTCTCTGATAATATTAAACGCTAGATTTAAATTGTGCGGATTTATTGTAATAAATCACTTAAAAGCACACAGAACATAAGCATAAACACAAATACTAATACCACAGACCACAGAATAAACGATAAATAAATTAGGTTGAGTATTTTACTAATATTCGCAAAATGTCCAATTTTCTCTCAGGAAAGTGGATTCGCCCGATAATGCATGAAAATATTCACTTGCTGGTTTCAAGAATACAGCTGTAGATGTTTTCGAGGGAACTCCGCCCATTTCTATTACAAATTTTTACTCCTACGAACTCGAGAATAGGCGTCCAGGGATGGGTAGGTAGAAAATTATACATATTCTACTGTATATTCTACGCCTAGAATATGTATATATTTTTTACACCAACCTATTTTCTAAATTTTCTACACTACAAAATGCAGAAAATTAATCATTGTTTAAAATGTATTATTAAATAGGTAATTCTGTTTTTTTTTCTTGCTATAATAATTTACGTTCTTATTTTAGTTACTAACATAATTGATTTTTTTCTTACAGATTTAAGCACAACACGATTTCCTACGAAATCAGGTGCACATATAAAATTTAAACAAATTATGTACTTAAATCTTCCTGTAAAATTTTGCTCAATAAAATTCTATTCTATTTTTAACTTTTAAAATGTTAACCTAAAAATGAAATATTATTGACTGTAACTTTGTCTGTAGTTTACCTGATTATGGCCAAGAACGACCGAAACTAGTCGCGAATGTAAAATTATTATAGTAAGGAAATATAAAAAAACAATTATTTATTAATACATTAAAATTCACCCTTACCAAAAATAGACTACCCCAAACTTTTAGAATTTAATTAAAAAGCTGGTTAAATATTTATTCATATAAATATACTCCATCAAGATATTTTACATAAAATTTACATACAAAATATGCAACGGAAAAAATAAATCAAATAAACAAATTTTGAAATAAAAAAAATATTCTAAATATTAAGAATGGACCGAGTTTACACATTTGTATATAAGATGTAAGCACAAAATTATAAATAAAAGACCTAAAATAAATAAAAGCGAAAATAGTAATAATGAACTGATAAAGTCCATTACTTTTATAGTAGTTTTGATATTCATCCATTTTATTTCTATCTTTAATCTTTGAGTGATAGTAAATATAAGTTAACTTTTTTGAATTTTCAGAAGTAAGGCGGTTTCGAATAGGAGAATAAACATAAGACCAATTTGAAAAGATGAGCTGAAGATGCAGGAATCGTGTTAAGCCTAATCGCTAGTCGGGATAATGTGGGATAGTCTTTTTCTGCCAACTCCCAATAAGTTCGGACTTTTGTTATTTTCTTGTCGTTTTTGAAATATATTGCGATTATTTTTAAAATCCTGAAGACCATCTACCCCTTCCGCATCTAAATTATCCAAAAAGAATTCATTCACATCTTTTATTTGATCATCAGTTTCCCTTGATATATAGGATGCAAAAAGTTAGCAGCAAGTAAAAATATATTCAAGGCATATTTTTGGCGTTTTTTCAAGCATGGAATTTATTCATTAAAACCTTCGGGCAATTCTAATTTAATCCATTCTTCAGCTGCGTCTGCGATTGATGCCTGAGTACTTTGTAATAAGTTAATAAGCTTGCAAATGGGATCAAACAATTTGACACTATATCCAACTTGTTTTTTCAACCTCTCGTCAAATACAAGTTTTGTTATATTAGGTTTAAATGATATGGCTTCAGCAACTAGGGTTCTCATTGATTTCAAGTTTTCAAAAAAAAATGTTTTAATGGGACACCCTATATATTATTAGATATTGGATTATTTACAAAATTTTAATCATATTTAATAAATGTTTAATACATGAATTCAACCGTTTTTTAAATATTACCACTTGAAAAATGTTTTCAAATTTAACAGCCTGCAAAATCTAAATTTAGGTTTAAAACATCATAATTTGATATTAATATTATCAAATATGCTTATATTTCTCTGACTGTACATTGTTTACCTAGTAGGAAAAGCTAAACATTGTCTGGCAATGTGACTTTTTCTACGAGGTACGAGGTACATACTATTTTTTATTATTAAAACTTTTTCTCAATAATTTTTTTAGTTTACAAATAATCGTAAGGAAATAATATTTCCATGCAGTACAACAATAAATATTTCCTTACAGTTATTTTCTGTTGCCTGGCAGACTAAGAATAATTATTTTCCAACTGTGACATGCAGTTTGTACGAAATATTGAGTTTTTCTGTTTCGCTATTGATTGTGGTCAAACTGGTAGAACTACCGGAGAAGGAAGAAGGCAGATTTAACCATGAGCCGAGTGTAGAGCAGCTAGGACCAAAACTTTTGGATTTTACTGGTACTGGTTGTGGTTGATTTTAATCACCTTCACTTTCACCATCATCATCCTCGTCCAAAAACCCAACTTTTTGGTTTTCTTTTTCCACTAGCCTTGCTACTTTGGCTAATGGAATTTCTTTTTCTTTCTCATCCTCACTATCTTTCACTGTGTCATCTGAATTTGACAAAAGTTCACTTAAATTTTCAGCTTTTCTTTTTCTGCAAACATTCCGGTGTCCTATAAATCTTTTCTTGGCAGTATTTTTTAAATTTTGCTACAATAATTACATAAACTTGCGTTTCTTCTGTCATAAAAAATTCAGCCTTAACTTGTTGAAAATCATATTTTTCCCAAAAATCCTGTTGAGTTCTTCCAGCCATTTTAAAATAGGTATTTTTGTTAAATTACAATATTTACCGTCTAAATTAAAACAAATAATAAACTGAGGACGAGCTTATTGACGCGATGCGTTTTTGTATTTACGATTCGATATTCGCGTTGGACCATGCCATCTTATCGCAAACGTTTATAAATAGTCAGAGGATCGTGAAAAGATGTCGCTAATGATTCTGTGTCCGATTTTATTTTCCAAATTTCATTTTCGCAATACTCCGAATACGCTCTTTCTTTAAAGTTTTGCACACACTGCAGGGTTTTAACGTCTCTAGCTAGATTTGTCGAGTTGTAATTGTGAATCTTCTACACCTTCGCCTTGCTTTCACACAATCTTCGTGGGCGGGACACGCGTTTTTTCACCAAAGAATCGACGTCATCGTCTTGTCCAAATCGGAGTAATAAAGAGCACGTTTTTCTTTCGCTTTGGCTACTTGAAAATCGTCTGCAAAATCAAATAATACATTATTTTTTGTCCTTATTCCCATTATAAATACTTCTTACTTCTCACAATTTAGGAGCTTGCGCGCAAATCCCGCTAAATCCCCAAAGTCAAATTTGTGGAAAATCGCAAAAAACATATTGCAATAAATCAAGTATGATTAGCGTTTTTCATTGTGTTCTACTGATCGTCAAAAAACATTTACAAAATTTACGCTGAAAATTTGTTATCCCTTATATATTTTAAAAAATATTTCTTTTTGGATTTAGCTGGTTTTGGTAAATATAAATATGAAAATAATTAGCATATGTTTGTTCACCAATCACTGGGCGAGTACAAGGATGATCCTTGATCTTGCTCACTTCCCAGTTCTTAATGAACAATGTTGAGTTACCAAAATAAAACCAAATGGAATTCGTTTTGGAACTGATTTTTATTAAAAACTTATTGAGTTATATACAAATTTACAATATAAACAAAACAGTAGTTCTAAACATTTAAAATAAAACAATATATAAAATTAAACAACAATAACAAAAAACACATGCATCTTTGTTGTAAAACTGCTGGTTGCCGCAATTGGTGCACTGCTGCGTAAGGTGTTCTCGTTTAATCACCTGCTGCTATACGCAACTTTGCACATTCCTGCATTTTTGGTAGTAACCTTTTTTAAACTCAAATTCTATTAATAATTTTTTCTGTTTAAGTTTTAATTAAACAATATTCCTATTATTATAATTCTTTTAATGAATATTTAAAAAAAAAATAAAAAAAACACATTAAAGAAACTTTTTCACTCATTTATTTTTCTTATAGAAGGGCGTAACAATAGAAATAATTATTTTTATATTAATAACGTATTTTAAAACAAACGCGCGATCTCTAAACTTTGGTTTAAAAAATATTTAAAAAAAATATTAAAAACATTTTTTCACTAAATATGCACTGCATTCTTTTCTGCAAGGCAATCGCATGGTTCAGAATCTGATGTCTCATCTTCTATATTGATTCCTTGCCTACCTAGTAAATCATTGTACCAAGCCAAGTCTTTGTCATTCTTCCAATCTTTTCCAAATTGCTTAATCAATAAATTTTTCAAAGATTTTTTCTTTTTCTTGGGTATGCCCCTTCGACCTGCTAATGACCTTTCTTTAAGTCTGAGTGGAGTGTCCCTCGGGAGCTTGGTTTTGTTAGTGTTGAATATTGTTCGGTACCAGTCCTAAACCTAAAGTGCTTAAAGCCACAGACAGAAACGTTTTTCATAGTTTTTTTTAAGCTAATCACTTTCATATTAGAAATGCCATTGATCTTCTTGAGTTTTTCTCCTAATAATTTGATATTGTGGATTCTCCAGCCATTTCCTTTGTCACTGTTAAGTGACCTGACAACTCCATGGCTTTTGTAGATTTCATTATAATCGTTTTTTGATATGATAAGTGGATGTTTTTTTAGATCGTGTTCTACGCGACCAAACACTCGGTCGGCCGGTAGAAAAGAGTGACCACGGACTGGGTACGTTATTATATCTTCTGATAAAGCTGGTGGAGATTTTAACTTTAACCAATAATACAAAGTGTGGATGATGTGCGAGTTCCTATTTTGTCCTCCACAACCATAGCAAAATAATCTCAGTGTGAATGATCGTGAGCTTAAGAATGTTTAAGTGATGAAACAAAGCAGAACCAATTTCTTCTGCACCTCGTCCGGCTTGGTCTTCAGTCCATATATAAAATGTAGGACTTTTAGATTTTGTCAACACCACAAAAGTTATACAAACTAACTTGGTGAAAGTTAAACGTCTCTTCACCCCGGCATTGATTTTCCCTTGTTCAATAAGGCTTTCTGATAAGACTACCAAGAATTCCAAAAATGGTATCTTTTGACATCTGACTTCACTGTATATAATAAAAGAGTTTACGGCAGTTATCAATAATAATTTGCAAAAACATTTTTCCACCACGTGGTGGACAAATTCATATAGGCTAAGTAAATGATCGGTCAAATCAACCCCCCCATATACTTGTAAAACGAGATGATCTCTGGGCATTCAACAGCAAGTTTTTTGCCATTCTTTTGCTTTCGATCAACAAATTTACGCTGATCCCCATGACAGTTGCTAATTGCCAATACTTCTTTGGTTTCTTGCCACCTAGTGAACTTTATCCCGTCATTTGTGCATACAAATTTTGCTTCACCTTTTTCTAATTTACCCTGACTTTTTGGTATGTTTTTTCGCGTACCAATACAAGTTCCCACTGCAGCATAAGGCAATGTTTTCATCAATGTCACCGATGTAAAAAATCGGTCAAAACAGATCACAACATCAGTTTTCCTTATTGAGCTGATAAGTTTTCTAACAACCCTTTCCCCTACTGTTCCATCTGCTTGTCCATCCTGTTTTCCGCTATACACATCGAGGTCTTATACATCACCGCTAAGAGAGTCGCTTCTTACCCATAACTTTATACCACGTTTGATGGGCGTTTAAGGGCTTTAGGCTCAATCTGCCCTTGAATTTCGCCAGACTTTCATCTATAGACTGATACACCGAATCCGTTTTTGCATTTTAAAACTTATGTTTGCAACACTCTAGGAGCTCCTCGATATAATAAATCTTGGAGGATTCTGCTGGTTTCTCAGGGCTATTGAAGTATAATTTTGATATAAGTAGTTTATAACGGTCACGTAATATTGCATTTTTTATTGTAGTATTACCCATAGAGGTATGATTTGACCAATAGCAGCTCAAGCTTGAAAGCGTGTTATAAGCCATTACCATCATAATTTCAGAAGAGTCAGTTCGTTTATTTTTTTTTAGTTTTCTTTTACAAAATGGTTAACCTTTCATTTGTACACTGGGATATAAATATGTACAAGCTTTTTGGAAATAAGACTGACCAGAGTTCAAAAGAATTTCTGCATTCCTTGCAGTAGGAAGTTGAATCCTTGGGGTAAAGTTCGGACACACTGAATTACAGATTATGTGATCTGATGCAGATAAAGTTGTAGGCACTGTTTGAAAACTTGTCGACGCATTTGGGACGTCGGAAATAACTATCTGGAAATAAATATCTGTATTCCGATTATTATCGAGAAAAACTCCGATACCTTCAGGCTCGATAACCTTATCATTAGAACTTAAAGACTGGACATCGCTAGGGATATCGTCTTCAGGTGCAGGCTCAGTTTCGGAACCCGAAGTGTCCCAGTCATCTTCATCCTCACTATTATGATAAGGATCGGTATCGCTCTCGCTAAAGTCCAAATTTTGAGCGAGTTCTTGAAGCACCTTTTGATTTAAAAATTTAATTTTTCTCATTCTTTAAATAAAAAAAATATTGTTATGCCTACCCAGCAAATAATTCAAATAATTCATAAACAGAAACCAAAATAAACACACTACATGTACCTACATGAGCAGGGAAAATTTGAGGTTATCTCGTTTTATTCGTAAACATAAATCGGCTAAATGACCTTTGGCGTTGAAAAGACTGAATTGGCGTTTATATACGTTTATTTGGGATCATAGTTACCACTATTACAAATAAAATCTGCTTTGGGACGTATTGTCCCGTTAGTACTGAAAGGGTTGTCACTTGTTTTAACAATAAACGATTCAAAAGTACCAAATTGTACATACCGTAAGCACCGAATCTACGAATAATTGTATACAATTTCCAAGTGGAGTAAATTTACAAAACTTTTGCTTTGGTAAATAAATAAATAAAATAGATTGCCAAGTTTTGGTAAGTACACGTTTTATTTACGTTGGAAAGAAACCCGTCAAATATCAACCAAAAAGCAACGTGAACAATTGTTACACTAATTTAAGAAAGACCCTAGGCCACAAATGAAGAAAACTAATTAAATAGCTTAATTATTTTTATATAAACTTAACAATCATTTATTTGTTAAATTAGCACCTTAAAAGATGTTTTAAAGTCTATATAAAAATAATTATTTTTTCTAAACGCGTAATTTATGACTAGGTGTTTCTAAAATCAGTGATTTAATTTAAATTGTATAGAAGTTTTAACATTTTTAAAATATTTATATTTAAATTATGGGAAAAGTCTTGCAATTGCCACAATCATTATCATTAAAAGTTAAAGAGTCTGAAATATTATAGGTACAGTTTCGGACATAACTATTGCAACAAATAAATAATTGTATTAATTTTCTTAAAAGATAAGAATTTCATACTTATTCTTAAAAATAAATTACACACATGAGAGAAGTATAATTTATAAAAGAAACATATATTATTGTTCAAAAATAAACTTTTATTTAATGGAACAAAATTTTCACTTGGAAAAAATTATTGCAACAATAATTTAATTGTAAATAAAAGTAAATAAAAAAAACAAATCAATATTTTGTATACTAGCCACGTGCTTTTATAACATCCTCCATTCTTTTTGGCATAGAATTTAATAAACGGGTTATTAGATTGGCATCAAATGTCTTCCAAGAATCAGTTTTTCAAAAATTTCATCAGCATTTTTTAGATTTCTGTCAGAAATTTTTTGATCCAAAATTTCCCAAAGGTTTTCTATTGGGACTACATCAGGACTTTGTGCCGGCCATTTCATTACATTGGTCTTATTTGATGCTAACCACCCTTTTACTAATTTTGAAGAATGTTTGGGATCATATATCGTACATTCTTTAAAATATCCTTGTACATAAATCGATTCATTTTTCCTCTTATCCTATGCAATGGCCCTATTCCATAACCGATTTGCCACCATGCTTCACAGTAGGACAAACATATTTTAATTCCAATCGTTTATGTGCAGGTCGTCTTACATGTACCATACCATCACTCTGGAATAAATTAAATTTAGATTCGTCACTAAATACTACTGTGTTCCACTGTTTGGGTATCCGGTTAATATGGTCTTATGCAAAATCCAATCTAGCCTTAACGTTCTTCTTTCTTAGTAGCGGTTTTTAGCATTTCGATAACTTCTAAGCCCTCCCTCAACAAGTCTTCTTCTTATGGTCCTACTTGATAGATTTGCTTCTTCGGATTTGTTAACTTCAGCCAAAATTTTTGTAGAGGACAGGAAAGCCTTTCAAAGGGTTATTATTCGAAATTTTCAAAATTTGCTTATTCATTCTTCTAGAAGATTTTCTAGGCTTGTCGGAACTTTTTATTGGCACTATACTACCAGTAGTAGCAAGTATGCCATTGTTTAATTATTTACCAAATAAATGAACGAATACTGCCTAATATAGATGGCTACAGTAAAACTATTTCAAGTATTGTAATATTTATGTCCAGCATAAAAACATATTAATGTTTTTTATGGTGTGATAAACAATTATTTGCGAGAGGACTTACCTGATATATTACAGTGCGGATGAAAAAAGAATGCATACAAATTGGGTAGATTTTTTTCTTAATTAATATTTATTTAACTGAAATTTTAAAAAAATTGCCATAGTTATGTCCAATACTGTATATAGTTCCATTGTCATTTATACGAAAGCGTAGAGCTGCCATGTCAATATTAAAAAATATATTTAGAAAAATTTACACTTTTTTTGTATATTTACTCTTTTTCTGTAAAAATATATTTAGGAAAATTTACATTTTTTTCTATTTAAAATTTGTTCTGCACAATTTACTACCCAGCAATTCGTTATTCAGTAGTGAGAAGCAAGCCTTGCTATATGCCGGTTTAGTGTCGACAAAGTATATTCATTAGGTATTATGGACCAATATATTAAAACCTACTTTCAAATCAGATTAAGTCAGAAATCTTGACGTGTCTTCTAGAAGACGGTTATGTTCTAAGTATTTACGAAGGCATCTAAGGCGACTTCGTTTATTTCGAAGAAATATTTACACGGACGTTAATATTATGGTACGATTTTTAGAAACACAAATATCGACACACGGTCAGCTATAGGGCTACAGGTGGATGCACCTTAAGTGCCTTCAAGCCCGCTGCACAACTGCTCGGTAACGAAAACGGCAACGCGAACGGGAACGGGAACGAAAATTATTGTCAGATGCACAATCAAAATAATAAAACGGAAACAAACAGGAATTTTAGCATTTACCTAGTTGTATTTTTAGTTGCTTTTTAATTTTGACATAAAAGTAACTAAAAAATAACTAGATAAACGCTAAAATCCCTGTTCCCTCATTTTGTTTCAAACAAATTGTTTGCTCTTTTGTTATTTGTGGTTATTTTGACTAAAAGCATTTATATTATTTTATTATCTGTGAAATAAATATTGCTCGCAATGGATTCTACTGTGTTCGCAATGGACGACGAAGATGATATTTTAGATGGATTGATATGTTTACTGTTGTGTTTAATTTATATGCAAGTCCAGAATTTCGGCAAAGACTATAAAATATTTGGCCCATGGGGGGTCATTTCAAAATATATCCTGGGAGTTTAGAGTAGGAGACTCAACTGTTTCCAAAATTATACTTGAAACTTGTGAAGCAATTTGGAAGGAATTGCAACCTAAATATTTAAAACCTTTAAATAAAAATGACTGGTGCACTATTAGTGATCAATTTTATGGCAGATGGAATTTTCCACATACTCTGGGAGCCATTGATGGAAATCATGTCCAAGTTTATTGTCCGATAAATAGTGACTCCCAATATTTTAATTATAAGGGTCATTTTAGCACAGTGTTACTTGCATCCTGTGATGCAGAATATAAATTTATTTGGGTTGAGATTGGAGCATATGGTTCTGAACATGATGCCGGTGTTTTTAGAAGATCAAACATGGGAAAAGATCTGGAAGATGGTAGTGTTGACTTGCCAAGGCCCCAAAATCTTCCCAATAGTGATACTGGCATGCCTTACTTTTTTGTTGGAGATGAAGCTTTTCCATTAAAGTTCTATATAATGAGTCCATATCCTGGAAAACATTTATCTGATAAAAAATTAATTTTTAACTACAGGTAAAAGAAACTTTAAAATTTTTATTTTATTATTAATATATAACTTTATAGATTATCCTGGCATGCCTTACTTTTTTGTTGGAGATGAAGCTTTTCCATTAAAGTTCTATATAATGAGTCCATATCCTGGAAAACATTTATCTGATAAAAAATTAATTTTTAACTACAGGTAAAAGAAACTTTAAAATTTTTATTTTATTATTAATATATAACTTTATAGATTATCCCGTGCTAGAAGAACTATCGAAAATTCATTTGGAATCCTAGCAAGCAGATGGAGAGTCTACCTTCTGCTATGCTCTATTACAACCACTGAGGCAATTGTTAAAGCAACTGTATGTTTGCATAATTTTTTACGCACTGAAACACCCCAAACATATACACCTCCTGGGTTTATAGATAATTTATCAGAAAACGGTGAAACAGTAGATAGTGAATGGAGGGAAATTACAAGAAATGACGCAAATTTAACCCCTGTGGGTAGAATGGGGTCTAATATAGGTCCAAACCTCATTAATAAAATGTGGGATGACTTGGCAGACTACCTTACATCTGACGTTGGATCTGTGCCTTGGCAGTTGACACATGTTCATAGAGGAAGAATGCTTTAACTCATCATGTTAGTTAATTTTAGTAAATAAAACCCAATAAATATTAAAATAAGCATTTTATTAAACCTTAAATACATGTTAATTCTCTTATATATTATATGAATACGTCCAGCACTTCTTTTTTAAATTTCCAAGCATTACCCCTTTCTCACCTGTGTGTATCAAGTTATAAAATGTTTAAATTAGGCATAGAATTAAGTAAGATCATGTAGAGACTAGAGGCATATTAAAAAGGTAATTATATATTGTATTTTTAATGAAATTATACTTGCTTTATTTTAAATTTATTTATACTGCTACTTGTTTTGGTCTTTGATCTTCAGGCAAAATTTTCAGTAGTTAAAATATTGGTTAAAATCAATAAATAATGTGAATAACATGCAAACTCATGCATTTGTTATAAACTATATTATTGTAATCTTTGTAAAAACAAGAAAATTTATGTTATTTACATTATTTATTGATTTTAACCAATGTTTTAACTTTTGAAAATTTTGCCTGAAGATTGTCCTAGACCGAAACTCGTAGCAATATAAATAAATTTAAAATTAAGCAAGGAAGTATAATTTCATTAACAATACAATAAATAAAAAAAATTATGTTCGTAGTTTTTAAATAATTAGGTATTGTTGGTTTTTAGGTAATTTTAAGGATAATGGCAGGTTTTTGGCAGTACAAAAAAGGTATTATTTTTCTTTATGAAAAATTTGGTGGCTCAGTTGCCTCCTTTATTGTGTATCATCAAGGTATGTAATAAGTAAATCCATTACTTCCCTCCTAAACATGAGTTTACTTCGAGATGGAAGAACTGCCATTTCATTTATAATGAAATACATAAAGCAATCCTGAAATATTTTCAGTTCGTCTATTCATAATAGAGTTGATTGTTTCCAAAGTGTTCTGTATTTGGTCACTTATTTTTGCCATTGGTCCCCTTGTTGGTGTTTTTCTGGCATAGGATGTGCTGGGCAGGTCACATAAGGTCGGGGATAATAAATTCCCATCTTCTCCCACCTCATAGCATTCACTTGAGGTGATACTGGTGCTCGGTGTGGTTAAAAACTCATGTGGCTTTTCCTCTGGCACTACGAATTCTACAGGAACTTGTACTGGCACTTCCATGTTAATCTGAAATAAACTTATTTATTTACCATTACACTTTTTTAAGGCTTTGATTTTCATTTCATGCAAAAATAATAAATACCTTCTCTCTCTTATATATGTTGCCAGCCATAGCATTTGATTATAGAATATAAAATCTTGGGACTTTTTACATCCACCTGCAGAACCGGAAGGAGGTTGGGTGTTCATCTCTCTGTGAGCCCTGACAAATCTATCTCGTAGATTTTCCCATCGCTTTTTAACAATTGTAACTACAAAAGGAAAAAACGAATAATATTTTAATTTAGTTAAATCAAATCAAATCAAATCAAATCAAATCATTTATTGGTGTTATTTACATGGAGTTGTATTACACAAGTCAGTATTGTAAGTCAGTATTGTAAATATATTTGCATATTTACATACCATCAACCTTCAAGGCCTGGGCAATTGAAATACAACTGTTTTCCTTCATGCTGTCATCCTAATAATCTTTAAGGCTCCCCTACGCCTTCGGGTGCGTTTAACTGGAGGAGAAGCTTTTTTATAAATTTAGAATCCAAATAAAACGTTAATTTTGTTAAAGCGGTGCGAGAAAAATAATCCTCGATAGTTAGCTGATCATCCAATTCTTGTAGAGAAAAATCCACCATTTTAGTTTCAAAATCAGCTAGATATCCTTTTGTGGATTTTCCAACAAGGAAAAAAAGGCCCGTTTAAGTACAGTTTGTACCGTTGCACAGTTTTCAATTTCAATTTGCCGGGTGCCACCTCCTTGCAGCTTACGCACCTGGATATAGGAGTCTCTATCCATTGAACAAACCCAACCCACAGTATTGTTGTTTTTACTTTTTTATTGGAATTTTATTTGTGTGCGGTGTTATTTCCCGGCGTTAACATCTTTAATTTTAATCTATCAATTAGGATCTGCTTTTTTGGTGCCAATTCTTTTTTGCAATATGCTTTAATGGCAATCCTATCGCCTAATTTTGACAACAAAATCTTCAAAGTATCATCGGGCATAACCATGATAGTTGCCGGATCAATCTGCAGGCAAATAATTTATCAGGTCCACTATTACTTAAATTAATGCAATTTGGAGAAACGTGAACGTCGCACATAGTATTAATTTCTCGGTTACCTTAGATTTATATTTTACAATAATACTGGTAAACCCAAGTCTAATGTACCGCGCTTAGCGTCTCGACAAACTAAATCTCGAGACAGTAATGAAATTTTCGTCGAGTATTGTATACAATTTTATTTTCAACCTGAATTATAGGTTATTTTTAGTTAATATATAGGATTATTTTAATGAAATCGGAGACGAAACGTCAAAAAAAAAACATAAAGGCCGCTGCACAACAGTAACGTAAACATTTACTAACTTTTTCTATTTTGATTTGAACAAATGGTAGATTTTTAAATAAATTCTAATTTTTATTACTTTTAAATGAGTTGAAAAGGTAAGTTTACTGATTTTTAAAAACTTTAAAAATATAAAAAGAGATGACACTGCTGATGACAGCTGTCACTTTTCTCGTCTAGACCGGAAAAGTGACAGTTTTGCACGTCATATGCCTCAATGTTAAATGCAAACAATTTCAAAGTTCAATATCTTTTTACTGGTTCTCTGTAGTTTATCAAAAATTTAAGGAGATCATTATCTTATCATAATCTAATATGCAAAATTTTAGAAAATTCTAAAAGATTACTCTATGACCGACAGTACTACCTTAAAGTCGTGTTTCAACCTTTTATTTACATTCCGAAGGTGGGAGAATTTTTAGCTAGTTCAATACGAGGTTTGCTGGTCAGGGTCCGAGGGCCCCCTAAACTTGGGGATACCTATCAGCCATACAATTTTCCAACTCGTTCTCAATAACACAAACATCAAGTGGAGCTCGCGACAAAGCATCAGGAACGATATTAGCACTACCTTTCTTGTGCTCGATTATAAAATCATACTGTTGCAGTCTAACTGCCCAGCGCGCCAAACGACCTGATGGAGATTTAATATTCTGTAACCACAACAAACTGGAGTGGTCAGTAATTACTTTAAATTTTACGCGTTCGATATAACACCTAAACTTCTCGATTCCAAACATTAAGCTTAACAGTTCTTTTTTAGTCACGCTATAGTTTCTTTTAGCCTGTAGCAAAGTTCTACTTGCATATGCCACAACATCCTCTTTACCACTCGAATCTAGTCGAGTCAGACAACACCCTAAACCTACATTACTTGCATCACACTGTATGGTAAATTGCTTGGAAAAATCGGGACTAGCTAAAATCGGAGCCGAAACTAACGCAGCCTTAATATCTGAAAAACAAGTATTAGCCTCATCCGTCCAAACTAATTTTTGTGATTTCTTCTTGCCTTTAGTAAGTGCAGTCATAGGGGCGGTAAACATAAATAAGTTCTTAATAAAGCGTCTGTACCAACCACATACTCCAATAAATCTTTTCAATTCTGTAACAATTTCAGGTCTAGGGAAATTCAACATTGCCGTGACCTTTGAAGGGTCAGTGCGCAAACCATGACAGTCTATAATAAAACCTAAATAACGCAGTGATGGCAGACAAAATTCACACTTTTCTATGTTTAATGTTAGTTGAGCATCCTTAAGTCGCAAGAAAACAGCCTCTAAAACCTCAAAATGTTTCTCTATAGTTGGAGTAGCCACGATGACATCGTCTAAGTAAACGAAGCAAAAAGGTTCAAGATCAGGACCTAAAACAGAATCCATTAAGCGTTGTTGAGATTGTGGGAAGTTACTTAGACCAAAGGGCATAACAAGAAGTTCGAACAGTCCCCGACCAGGAATTGTAAAGGCAGTTTTCTCACATTTAGAAGTTTTCAAAGGAACCTGTTTGTTTAAGATCTAAGCTAGACAAAAATCCTGCACCAGTAAGTTTTTAAAGAATGGTGTCGACTAAAGGTAGTGGGTATGCGTCCTTTTTAGTTACTGAATTGAGCTTAGGCCCGTCATAACAGAATCTCCAATCACCATTGGACTTTTTGACAAGAAGGACTGGACTTGACCAAGGACTATTTGAGGGCCTAATAACACCTAGCTCAAGCATATTATCTAGCTCCTTGTACAAGTGCTTCAAAATGTAGGGTGACATCGGGTGAGGAAGTTGTTTAATGGGATCTGCATTACCAGTATCTATTTTATGTACGATTTTGTTTGTACGACGTAACTTAAAACCGTTAACATAGGAAAGTTCCTGAAATTTTTTGATAAGATTGTTTAGATATTTTTGCTCATCGGAATCTAAAGCTGATTTATCACTGATAACATTGACAGAATCCAATTTTTTACTAGAATTATTTACAAAAAAACACTCTTTACTATAATCTATCTTTAAGTGAAAACCATAACAAAAATCAAAACCTAAGATCAAGAAGGAACTATAAGCACATTTATAAATCGTAATTGTTGATTTAACATTATTGGCAAATTAACAACCCCTTTAATCACTAGCTCAGCTCCATCAGCAGTAGTGATTTTTGTACCCTTATTTTCAAAGATTTTAAACCCAACAATTCTAACAAATATAAACCTTTACCACCCATAATAGACCCAATTTTCCCATTCCTGAGTTGACGTTTCAGGACTAGTATAGGCCTTGACACCACTAACCGCCAGGTTACGCCGACCTACAATGCGTTTCCTGAAGGGGAGTTTTTTGAACACTTAGGACAATTGGGGCGAATGACGTTAGGCTGACCACAACCATAACAATTAAGTGCTTTCCGCGGTTTCCTACAATCCCTGTACGAGTGGCCACTTATATCACAATTCCAACATTTTAACTTATGAACTTTAACTTGGTTTCTTTGAAAATTAAATTTATTTTTCGAAAACTTTGAGGAAGAATAAGCCAAATCAGTCTCGACAACAGTAGAAGTTTTGTTAGGAGCGACAAAATTACTTTTAATAACTTTTGTGTTTTCTAAAAGTCTATAATCTGATATTAATTGATTAATCGTTTAAATATCACGCAATGCTATGTGCGACTGATATTCAGGCAAAAGATTTCTTTTAATTTGTCCTCTTCAGAGACCGATTTGGTCAATCTACCAAAATAATTTTGCATTATTGAAATATAAATGGTTACCCTCTCGTCATCACCTTGAGTTCTACCCGTAATCTCGTCCCATAGAGCCTCGTCAAAATCCACAGGGAGAAAATCCCTTCTAAGCGCCTCAACCAACGAATCCCAATCCCTAACTGAAGCTTGAATAGCTCTAAACCAGTGCAAAGCAGTACCTGAAAACAAATCCACGCCAGATTTAAATAATTCAACACTCGAGATATTTCTAGAAATTTTTAACTCCTGTATTCTTTATAAAAAACTATTAACAGACCCATTTTTACCTGTGATATGTGATGCCCCATTTAAATACCGGTGTCTTAGGGTTATTAACAGGATTAGAAATCGTTGTGGTTTGCTCTGGCACAGAGGAAACTAAAGAAAAGTCGTACAAATGCTTTTCAAATCTAGAATTTGCATCCGCCAACACGGCATTGCATTAAACACTACAAGTGATTTTATAGTTAAGGATTTCGTCAGCGCCCTCTACCGGGAATCTATTAAGTCTGCCAAGAATTTGTCGGTACTTAGAGATAATTTGTTGGAATCGACAATCATCAACATCTTCTGAATCGGGGACTAGGTTCTGTAACGCATCTATACTTACATCTAATTCACTTTTTTCTTTAGTAAATTCAAAATTAGGTGTACTGTAAGTTTGTTGGGTTTTCTGGTCAGCTTTAAAACACGTACACAAACACTTTCTCTTATCTGAAAGCTTAGTTTTGTTTCTATACAACCCCCTAATAACAAACTCGTAATCAATTTCATGTTCTGTTAAGCAAGTAGGGTCAATTTCATATTGGCTATCCATTATTTTTATTTAAATTATAAAAAAAAATACTTAAATTCAGTATCAAAATCAATATCAAACGTCCAATTCAAAAATATTCGCAAAATTCTAACACAAAAAAAAACTTTTAAAACCTTTCAGGTATCCCTCGTATTTCAATCGAAAATTATTTGGGTATCCCCCGTATTTGATAAAAAATGTAATTTGTTAATAAAGGAGTGGTAAGGAGGGAAAAGACAAAGGAAAGGAAAATAGACAGGTGAAGTAAGTAACTTAATTTTCTCGGGCCCCACGTTGCAAGGTGCCAATTTATAAAGTTAAATTTTTCAAAAAATTGGAAAAATAATTAGAGTTACTTACCGGTTAGCTTACAATAGTCGGCACTAGGCCTGGGTTCAAGATGTTATTTAAATACTAACAAAAGGATAATAGGGGGGCGCCAGCCGTGACAAACTCGACAGAAAGTCAAGAAATAGAGGAGTTATTAACAAAATACAAATTTAATCATGACCCATACATTTATTGAGATGTCAACAAAACTAGAACTTGTGTGACCAAATGAAATTATACAAAAATACAAAATATACTTGCAACACTGCCAATCAGTTGTGGTGTAAATGTCTTTACAATGTAATTATTACCTACCCTAATTACTAATACGGCCGTATGATTAACTTAATCTAAAATTATTACAGTAAAAAATGTTTCCTAGAGCAATTGGTCTAGTTTTGACAAAGATTTTCTCAAATAAAAAAATAAAATAGGGTCACTTAAAACTTATAACAAAATAATCAAAACGAAAGGGTACTACCTTTTACAGTCCTCGACTTTTCACACACCGATTTCAGTGGTTGTTAAGAATAAAACCATTAGGGCAGCACGACATGATCTCAACCCGTGCTTCAATTTCCATGAAGGGGTCTTTACACAGACTCGTAAGCTCCAGAGGTGATCCTAGCTTTACAGATCTTCAAAAAAAGGTTGGATCTCCGTCCAGCAGCAGCGTAAGAGCACTTACGGCCTTAACAAGGTCTTAACAATAATTCAACAGATTGTCAAAAACAACAAATGGGCTTTGTGAACTTTTAACTCCAACTTCTACATGTGCTTTGGAGGTTATAAAATTTTGATATTTCCAAAAAGGCCTAATAATCGGAAATACCCTATAAATTTTGTAATGAGAATCTCAAATGATATTTACCTAGTTGTTTTGAGCCTTTTCACTTTATAACCGCTCAGGATGACTTATAAAATGTTGGATTTCCATAATTTACAACAAACGTAACCAACACTTGTCGAATCCCACAGCAAAAAGAGCGCATAAAAGTCTCAAATTACGTTGGTAACTTATCAAAGCGAAGTTAGTTTTCGATCACCAACTCAAGGATTCAATAAACAGGATAGTCAACTGCTTTTCCGCATTTCTTATGCCAATTTCTCCACACGCACCACCGTTAACCATCCGGTTTATTGTATCCTTGAATCGCGACTTACAAATCTGACATACAGTGCTTGCAAATCCAAGTCCGACCGCATTGGAAAGGATGGTTGTTCAATACCCGCGTGAAAAGAATAAGGATAGAATGCCAAACAGAATTTGATTGGTCAGAGCGTCAGGCGTGCGTATTGTAAGCGCCTTCTGTTTGGCGTTCTATCCTTGTTATTTTCACGCGTCCTTCTCAAACCGGTCGGACTTGGATTTGCAAGCACTGTATAGAGAAGAAGAAGAGAATTTTATAATCTCCCATCAATAACAATCATTAAAATATCAAACAAATAAGTTATATTCATGTCATGCTGCTATTGTAATGTTTCATTAAGAGGAAGGATACCAAAACAAATTCCAAATTATAATAATTCTAAGCAAAACGATCCATATCAAACCGTACGAATACCAACAGGATTTTTAATAATAAACGGTACCACTTAAGTAAACACACGTTCATGGTAAGTGTCTTAGTGTTATCAATATTGATTTGATACTGATATTTTGTAGCAACGAAACTAAAGTAAACATTTTTAAAAATAATAATTATATTGACTAAATCAAGCCGTTACAGTATATAATATATAATGTCTCCTCGTGCGACAAAATGACGTCTTGTTGGGAATATAATAAATAAATTTACCACATTGTTTTTTCGCCTTTAATTTTTTTGCTCGCATTTCTTCTTCAGCGGGACTAAAATAATCGCGGGGTTTAGGTATCCTACACCCCCTTCCTTCTAGGCTTTCATTTTGGGTGCCTTCAGCCTTTTGTTTGGCCTCCGCATGTGTTCCTATAAACAATAGATATAAATTATATAGGCAAATTGCCTTTCTGTAAATTTAAACAGGATTCTTAAAAAAATTACCCACCACAAAAGCATTCTACTTCTATTTCATATTTATCCCAATCCTCCTGAGAAGGGAACATTTTACTTATATAGAGGGTATGATGTTTTGGAGGCCAAAGACAATTTGTATTATTTTTTGTCAGCCAGATTGATGGAACTTCTGAAAATATTTCTTCGTCATCATCATTGTTTAAAACTACAACTGCAAAGTTTATCTAAAAAAAAAAGAATACCCAAAATATACTGCAATTGACAAACACCATCAATAAATATATAAACAACCCAACCTTTGACGAATTCAAATTACCAGCTGGACTGTAGTGGCAAAATCAATATTATTTTATGTTTTTTAAAAATAGAAATTAAAATTAAAGGTAATACAATTTACAGTGTGATTAAAAAACATGCACTCTATTGTGGAAATACACACATCGCCAAAATTCTTGGACCCCCTTATATTTGTCAAAATGAAACACTATTATTAAAAGTCAAGAAGTGTATTACAAAGTACATTTAGTTTGGTTATGTATCCAGTGCAAATTGGCTAAATTAAATCTTAACTGAATAACAAAAAAAATTCAAACGAAATTTCATTTCGGAGAGGATAAATAATGGGTTCAATAATGTTTTGAACATATCTATCCCCTGTCATAGTGCATGGAATGGGAATAAGCTGCGTACGACGACCATGCATTATGCCTCCCCAAAACATTACTGATCCTCCTTGGTATGGAACGACTTCTCTGGCAAAAGATACTCTTTCTTGTCGCCCTGGCCCCCTCCAAACTCTTTGTCGCCGACTATCACTAACTAAACCAAATCTGGTTTCGTCAGAAAAAAGAACATTTCGCCACTGAGCTAAAATCCAGTCTCTGTGTTCCTGTGCCCACTGTAGACGAGCAGCTACGTGTCTGAAAAGTAACCTGGGTACTCTTAATGGTCTCCAAATTTAAACATAAACAACGTAGTTAAAAAATAAACTAAAATGCATATAACTAAAATAAACAATAACTATCTTCACTTAATCGGGTCTACTTGTATGGCAAACGTATAAATCTTTCTTAGAAAGTCCCGTACACGCTATATGTGCCCACCTACCACAGCCAGAGCATTGCTTTCACCATTCATTATCTTTTCCTATGTCGCTACAGATTATGCAGAATTATGACGCATCCATATGGTCTCCTTGTTCTTCTTGTTCTTCCACTTGCTTCTTTTTCTTCTCTCATTTGCCTTTTGTCATTTGTGTTCCTGCATTTTCACGGGTCACTTTATTAATTCCTGCAGCTTCAAATCTCTTTTTCTTCTTGTCTTTCTTTTCTTCCCTCTCTTCTAGAATTGCCTTGTTAGTTGTTAAAGTGAATATTTGTGAATGGCCCTTGTTTCCTCTGGAGCGTTTCTTTTGAATATGGTCAGGTAATTTCAGAAACGTTTTTAAGCCTGAAAAATTTATCTTCGTCATCGGTATCTTCGAGAATACACAAAAGCTTCTAAAGATACGTAACTGTCGCTTTCTTCACTATTACTTCTAAACTTTCCTGTTCTTTTTCTGTTGTACCCAGAGGGACCTGCTGTTAGTTCAGTTGCAAACATTTCATCGGTAGGTGTACGAAGACCTCTTCTCAGTTCATTTGTATTTGGTTCGGTTTTCATTATTTATATTTACATTTTCATAATCACTCTCTTGAATGTTGACAAATCCTTCTTCGGAAATGACGTTGGGATTTAGCGGAAAGATTCCCGTGTCCTTAAAACCATTTACAGCCTTCTCTAAAGTAGCTGTTCTATAGGACGCCTTCTTAAAAAGTTCTGCGACATGCTCCTGCTTCACTGAGTTGTAATGGTGACTTTTCATAAAAAAATTCAATTCTTGATTATATGCTGTTTTCAGAGGGCCGAAAAAGCACACATCCAAGGGTTGCAGCCTGTGGGACGTGTGTGGTGGTAACGTAACAACAGAGATTTTCCTTGCAAAAAATGTAAGATTAGTAGCTAGTGTGACTACCATGGTTGTCCATAATTAGGATTTTCTTTTGAGCATTTCGTTTATAGAGCAAAATTTCGTAACCAGTCCAGAAATAGGTCCTCATTAATCGAACCATTTTTGGAAACATAAACGGCATTTTCCGGACCATTTCTTTTCAAGCTGTCATAAATTCTTTGTCGGCCATATAGCATTGGAGGAACATAATCACCGGATGCGTTCATTGCACAAACAGAAGTAATTAATTTGCCACGTTCACCACTCGTAATGGAGCCGACCTGTTTTTGACCTTTTGGTGCCAAAATGCGGGGCGGCACATGGACGTTTGTTATCCCTATCTCATCCATATTAAAGATACTGTTAGATCTAAAATTGTGTTTTTCTAGTTCGATAGACAAGTTGTTATAAAATAATTTAACCTCTTCCTTTTTTATACCTAACAGACGATTAAGAGACGTTGCTTCGGGTTTCCTTAAAGAAGTTTGGGGATTGCGCTTCAAAAAACAGTAATACAAACTAGTGATGCCGCGAGACGAGACGAGACGAGAAAAGTCCTTCTCTCGTCTCGTCTCGTGCAGCGAGAGAAAATGGGTCTCTCGTCTCGTCGAGAATACTCTTTTCTCGCTCGAGAGTGCCTTTCTCTCGTCTCGTCTCGTTTCTCTCGTGGTAAAAGTACCTAAGTATGAATACAAAAATTATTTGGAATGAAATACGAATTCGTTTATATTTTTTTATATAGAAATTTAAACTGGAAATAAAAAAAATGTGTGCCAAGACCACACTAATAAAGTAAGACTTTTTACGCCGAAAATGTTGCGCATTTGAATCAAATGGTTGGAACTATGTGGAGTAGTTACATCTAGATGATCTAGTATTATACACCTATAATAGGTGTTTCTTTTAACTTGAGACAGCTCAATATCTCGTGAAATACGCATTTCACAGAAAAATGTCTTAAATAAAAGGTTAATTTGACCAAAGGGGACATTATTTGGTGCTACCGCTAGCCACCCCCTACCCCTCCTTAAGGGTGAAACCGGGGGTAACTTTGAAAAGTCAAATGGAGTGACCCGATTTTTTCACAGATTTTGGTAGTATATAAAAAAATGAATAACTTTTATTTGAAACTTTTTTTCAATTTATCAACAGATGGCGCTGTAATTCAAAATTTAAGAAAATTGGGTTTCCTATTATTTTAAACGTTTGAAAAACAAAAATTAACATTAAATCAACAATAGTCGGCTCTGAAAACAATTTATAACAAATGTTCAAAATGTCATCCTTTCATTTCGACACATTTTTAAATGCGGGTAATGAATTCTGACTCCACCATGTCCTCCCGAGTTGTAGGAATTGCAGCGTAAACTTTTTCTTTCAAGTAACCCCACAGGAAGAAGTCTGGCAGATCGTTTTCTAGAAAATTCCGGTAATTTTCACCATTTAATGCCGTTCGCCAAAGGTACCGCACCAAACGTTTACCGACCAGGGACGCTGGTGCTCCACTTGGTGTCGAAATGGAAGGAAGACATTTCGAACATTTGTTATAAATTGTTTTCAGAGCCGACTATTGTTGATTTAATGTTAATTTTTATTTTTCAAACGTTACAAATAATACATTTTACAGGGAAACCCATTTTTCTTAAATTTTGAATTACAGCGCCATCTGTTGATAAATTGAAAAAAAGTTTCAAATAAAAGTTATTCATTTTTTTATGTACTACCAAAATCTGTGAAAAAATCGGGTCATTCAATTTGACTTTCTAAAGTTACCCCCCGTTTCACCCTTAAGGGGGGGTAGGGGGTGGCTAGCGGTAGCACCAAATAATGTCCCCTTTGGTCACATTAACCTTTTATTTAAAACATTTTTTCGTGAAATGCGTATTTCTCGAGATATTGAGCTGTCTCAAGTTAAAAGAAACAGCCTGTATCGGCGCAGTAGTTTTCAATGGATCAAATCATTTGATCCATCCATCTGAAAACTACTGCGCATATATGATGTAACTACTCCACATAGATCTAACCATCTTGTACCTACTGCGCATGTCCGTCATTTTGAATCCGCAATTTTGTTTTTTTTAATGGATATCAAATTCTGAATCAGGGACCCCATAAATATCTGAATATTAAATTTTACCCAAACCATTAAAGCCGAACGACGAATTTTCGTCATATTGTATCAGCCATTTTATTTAAAAAAAAATGGATATCAAATTTGTAATCAGGCCCTCAAAAACCACATGTTGATAAGTTTATTGAATAAGCAATGCTTATTAAGCATACGGGTTTTTTTAATAGTATAGATGTGCTTATACAGGGTAAATTTTAAAAATTATTATTTTATAAGTAATTTTTTCTTGGTTAACGTTAAGTTGTGTTATAAAATAATTAACCAGGAACAAATGCGAATAATGTTCTCATTGGTCCAAATAAATATCGTCATTTATGTGCAAAATTATAATTTTTATGTAAAAAAAAATTGTTTTTTATAATCGAGAGAACGAGAGAGATCGAGAGAAACGAGAAATTCTCGAGCGAGAGAGGGCATTCTCTCGTCTCGTCTCGAGCCTTTTTTCGAGAGAAAATCGCCCTCTCGTCTCGTCGAGACGAGACGAGACGAGACGGGAGGCGAGAATCTCTCGTATCGGCGGCATCACTAATACAAACCCTTACCACAAATTTTTTTCTCTATTATAATTGTGTTTTATTTTATTTAATTCGGCATACTCAAACGTAATTTTTTCTAATTTGTCATTTTGTACAGCTTTAATAGCTTAAGCCATACTTTCCACGATCCTTTGTGTGTTTTTTTAACATATTTTGAAGGCACAATTTTTGAAAAACAACGTGTATACAGCAGTAGGAGGAATACCGACCACTCGAAGGGTTATTCCGACTACAATGGTCGCGATTACCCTCCAGTGACGTTAATTAAAAATTTGAATGAGAACATAACCTATTTTTACGCGAACAAATGAACAACTAGATTAACAATTACTATAATGAACGGCCTTTTTGATGAACTATACTCTCTATACTCAAGTTGTACTTATTTATTTATATATATATATATATATATATATATATATTATCCACAACTACAGCAAATGAACGAAAATTAACGACTCACGATTTGCTATGCGGCTGTTGAGCAAACTAACTAATGTTTGCTGTAACGAAACTAAAAGTATATGCGCTAGATGTCTCTGGTAGTTTTGCGGCACAATATTTGCATTTTAACTCAAATCTGCTGTGGTAGAGATTATCCAACGGTCAGTATTACCCTACTCTCCCCTACCACATTCAATCATTATAATTTGTTTTCCTACTTCAACTAGTGGCTTATCCATGCATTACATTTTTTTAAAGGCATATAATAATTTGTTTGTACATTTATCATCATCAGCAGTCGATTTATTTGTTTTAATTTTAATTTATTTGAATAGTTACTTGTATTGTGGCAATAAATTACCTACAATAAATCGTAATGAACATTTTACTGTAAAACAATACGTTGAAAAACGTATGAAAAACTGCAAGAGGACTTTATTTTTCTAAAAGGACTGCTGATAATGAGAAATGTATAATTCCCAAATTATGAAAGGTACAATTTGGACCACCCTGTATATTATTAATGATTAAAATAAAAAAAAAATTTATATTGCAAAAAATATTTTTATTTGTTTAGTAAAACGAACGATCCAGACCCCCTCTCCCTATGTCATTTCGCCAAAACAGTAAACACGCTACCCCCTAAACGTGTGACGTTCTTTATGGACCCCTTAGCATGTTTAAAATTTTGTATGAATTAGAGGCAATGTGACCAACTGGTCATTATATGGTAAAATCATAATTTTACACAAAACCAACTCTGAATTAAATGTTAAAATTGTATCTCTTTTTATGCATAAATGAATGCCCAATCCACGAGAGTCTTTAGGATATTTAAAAAACTCTCCTTGAGAAACTAGTAATGTTCCCTTTAAAAATGTTTCCTTGTTATATTCCCATATTTCATTTATGCATAAATATGATCCATTTTTGAAAAGACAAATATTGTCTGGAGCTAGTGTTTTTATGATCATACCATTGAAATGAAATTCAGTTTTGGGAGCTTTTTTAAACCCTGAATATATAAAATCTTCCTTTAACCTCCTAATAATTTGTTAAAGGCTGACTGAACACAATTTTTTATTAATATGATGCATATATGATAGGGGGTTAAAGGCACTAAAATTATCTAGACAACCAAATTTTAAAACATCTTTGGCCAGATGACTTAAATTGTGAACATTAAATGTAATATATTCTTGTCCATATATATCACTATATTCATTAATAAAATTTTCTAATACATTTTGAGCACATTTATTTAAACCATATATGCACAAATTTTTTCTACACATAATTCTTATAGCACGGGAAATTTTTAAAAAATGATTATATTTTTCTTCAACCATAAAATTTGGCGAAATTCAGTGGCTTTAAATCTGTCTACTTCCATAAGATTTCTTTGTTTTCTAGAAAAATCATTATATATGTATAGCCGGTATGATAAAAATGTTATTTAAAGAATTAAATAAATTTGCAGGAATTCTAACATCTTGCTTGCCTTTGTGCCAGAATTGTTAAAGTCTTTTCATAATACCAAGACAAACAAGATGCATATAATCTAGAGGAATCTAAAATAGATGTACTCAAGTGATGATCTTCATCCTCTTTTTTTCGAAATGATTTATTGGTTCGTAGTGGGTAACCTAACTGACAAAAGGTCATTCGGTTATTAAAGGTTATTAAAAAAATCACTCTAATTTGTACATTTGCCACATCCATGGTAACCAGTATGACCTTTTGTCTGTGTTATGAATGCCCTAGCTTGGATATCAGAGATAAATGCATTTAACTCAATTTTGCTTGTTTTACCATTCCAATTTATGCCAGATTATTTTATAAAATTATATTCATCTACAAACACCTTTAAAAAGTCATTACAAGATTTTGGTTTATGAAAACCATGATATATTCCAATAACAAATGGAACCATTTTAATTTCTTTAAATGTATTGGGTACTAACCAACCCAAAATTGGCCAAAATTGACTACCCGAACTTTTTGTTAATGGTAACCCATCAATATTAACATTTAATTTTATCTACATCTTTTGTTAATGAATTAAGATTTTTTAACAGAGACTCTTTTAAACTCATGTGGTAATAACTTCTTGGAGTCAAATTCATAACTTCAAGATTACGTGGCGTACTTAAAATGGTTCGTGCATCACCAGGTACATTAAAATTGTGGTTCTTTTAAAATTTTAATAATTTAGTTACATGTATAAGAGCAATATTACATTCAAGTACCCAGTCGTTTAAATTACTTATTAATTCTGTTGACATACTGGCTCCACAATCACCACACAAACATTTTGTTTGTTCTTTGTCTGACTCCTCAGATGATATTTCTGGTGATGTGGAACCAAAAATACTATCCACAAGTATTGTATTCACAAAAATATTATCTATGGAATCAACTACATCGGGATTAGATATAGAACTACAATTTTAGAAGAGCCAGCAATAAGATCCCGTGTATTTTGTATTGGAGATTAACACTTGTTAAGTTTAAAATACCCCTTTTTATTTGGTGTCTCAAATTTCTCTTTTGCCTTTCTGATAGATTTATTAAAGGTTTTCTATACATACCTTTGCTGTTGTAGGTGTATATAAATAAATTTAAAACCCAACAAAATATATACCTATATGTATATATACTAGGGCACAAACCTGCAACACAAAAGTAAAAACGAAAAACACTTCACGCAATCAGAGATAAATAAGGATGCACGCAATAAATACAAAGAATCAGAGCTCTAGATTATAGAATGCTTACTACCATAGAAAAAGAATACACTTGCTACGCTTGGCGGGAAGTAACATAATCAAAGAACATACATAGGACATAAACTAATAGCTATTTATATCGTTAAATTATTGCCAACTTAGTAAAAACAAAATTGACGCAAATAAATTCATAATTTTAACTATCGGGCTCAAAAATACTTTAATTATTTTATAAGTTTACTAATCAATAAATTAAAATTTGACTATTTAAGCCTTTTATTTTTATATTGTTGGTTATGGTAATCACGTGACAAATAATATACCTCTAATTATTTTTATTTACATTTGTGGTACATTTATATTAAATGTTTATTGCAGGTATTTATGTTATGATATATTAATGTAATATTACATCAATACGTAATAATAAAAAAGAATATTTCTGCAATATAAGTTTAATGTTTTTAAATAACTTTATTCGTCAGGTCCTCAAATTCTTCCATGCCGAAAAATTTGCACAATGCAATGAACCTGTCGTCTGCAACTGAACTGGCGTAGACAGAGTGTAAATTTACAGAAAAAGTGTATATTTACAGAAAAAGTGTGAATTTACAAAAAAGTGTAAATTTTCCTAAATATATTTTTTAATATTAACATGGCAGCTTTACGCTTTCGTACATTTAGGTCGGTTTCCTGTCCTTTAGTTAGGTTGGTTTTCTGTTCTTCATTTAGGTTGAATTCCTGTCCTTCATTTAGGTTGGTTTCCTATCCTTCATTTATGTTGGTTTTCTGTTCTTCAATTGGGTTGGTTTCCTGCACACTTTGCAAAAACTTGCACCTTTTACGCCTTTAAAACGTTGTCATGTTACATTGGCTTTAACGTGACATTGACGTATCGCAAACATCGATGTTACTGCTAATGTCCGGCTTCAGAAATGTTACCCCGTTACATCTCTATCGCTACGTTGCCGTTATAAATTAATCATCGCTGTAATGTTAATCTGTTTCGTTTACATAGTAGTGGTTGTGCAGTTATAAATAGTATTTATAACTGTATTTATTAAATACACAGTAGCTAATAATGATACATCCCAAATATTACGTCTGAGTTACGTAATTTTTCGACATCTATATAGATAGGGAACTACATGAATAAAAAAAATAATAAATATTTTTTTTATTTAAAATCAATACAAAATAAAAACAAATAAACAAAATTAATATACATTCATAAACAAAATAATACTGTAGCTGCAAAATTAATAATAGCAGAATAATTGTGAAAATAATAATAACCAAATTTGGTTGGTATTAATTTTCACTATTATTCTGCTCTTCCCCTTCTCTTTGTTTCTGTCCTTCAACTTAAAAAAGTTCATAACAAAAACTTCAAAATTTCTGTCAATCATTCTATGGAATCACACTTTACTGCAGCTATAAAACACATATAAATTAATAAGAATTACACCACAAGTAAATTATTTTACTTTTTACCTCTAATGCATTTGGTTATATTTAAATGTTGAATTCGATGATTTCCAGGTCCAGTCCATGAAAATTTTTGTGCTAAAAAATTGTAAATACTTTAGATAAACATCTTTAAACACAACTGTTCTCCTTAACACCACTAAATTCCACAGTTTGAAATCCTGCAAATAAAAAATACATAAAGTAACTCCAAAACAAACAACGGCATCGATACTTACAAGTTTTTTGTAGTTTTCTTCCTGCGCTATTGCCTCCTCTAATTGCATAAGATCTGCTATTGTATTGCAAGGAATCAATGGTAAAACAATAATTCTTCGCGGTGATAAAAAGTCGCTCCTAGTTCTAATTTATTAATTCGGTCTAGTATTTTATTTTAATTTGCTTTAAGTTCTGCAAAATATTCGAGAGCAATCGTTTCAACTAAAAGGTTTAGCATTAATTAATAATGTAGCTAATTTTCTTAATTTATTCTTAGAAGTTTTTACTGATCCATCGCCTGTTGCTATTATTCCAGGAGCATCTAATATTTGTCTTGAAATTTGTTCATGATCAGCCATTAAATTTTCTCCCGCAGAAGATGTTTGCAGTAGCTTCCTCGTCGACTGTATTGGCTGATGTATTTAAGACTGTTGGATTGTGTTTGGTCAAATGTTGTTTCTTCAGGTTGATAAGCAGTATCTACAAATTTAATTATAATTAGTTGTTCAAATTAAATTAATTAAACTTACCCTCACATTCCGAATCAGACAAGGCAGGCGGTGTGTATATTTTAAAATCTTTATAAAATGTTTGCTTTGTATTCATCCTGCGACTAGTATTATTTATTTTCCTGATTATTTTCATTAAAGACGGTTATAAGTTTCCACAATCTGGTGACAATTTTTCCTTTTTCTGGATCAAAAAAACGCACGACTATACAGGATGTTTTTTGGCACGATATATCTGTTGATTGATCTGTTAAACTCATTTTTTAATATCCTAACTATTTCGTTAATTCGCCGGTGGTTTTACATTTTTTACAATCGCGGTTAACTTTGTTCGATTTAGTTGAATATTTTGGGCAGTATGTATCAGAAACTTTAGGGGCAAAATATTGAGATACACTAAGCTGAGATTCTGCTCTTGCTTTTTTTAAATTTTTGTTTTGTGCCTTAATCACATGTAGTTCGGCAACAAACGTTGTATTACACATACTACATTTCGCTTTAAAGGGACTTTCTTCGGAACATTGTAACCACCCTCTAAACAACTCCTGACTCTCGCAAATTTTTCTATATTTCTGAGCCCGTTTTTTATATTTTTTTAAAGGTTGTTCTTCACGATCGGAATCGTATCGTTCTGCAACCAAATTATTTCTTTACTATTTAAATCACAATATTTTTTATGATTCTTAAGTAAATTTAATGTAATTACATTTGTGTAAAAAAAATGTCTCAAATTATGCACTAGGTAATTGTCTAAATCGCACGCATATATAGCGAGGAGGAAATAAATATTTTTATGGAAAAGACAACAACAAATAAATCAACCTGTAAAACGTCTGGTTCTAACAGAAAGGTAATTTAATTTAAGTTAAAAGTTAAAAACCCAAGAATCCATTGTAGCGTTCATTCAGTGATGTAATTTAAGACTTAATTTAATAGTTGGCCAACTTTTATCTTTTAAATTAAATTACTTTATTTTAAGGTTATTTGAAATAACTCATTTCTTACTAACCTATTTTGGGAGAACCTAACCTATTTTGTGTAGATGGTTTTAATAATGAGAAAAATATTTCGATTGTAATTAGGGAAGCCATATATCTAAAAGTTGGAGATACATGAGGTAAGCACTGTCTTTAAAATATTGTTTTTAATTTTAAACTATTTTTGTTAAATTAAATTACAAACCCAGCTATATATGTTTCAGTTTAAAACTTATACGTATTTATTATAACATTATTATTATATTATATTATCTATTTACACAAAACGTTTCTTGTGACAATAACTGCTAAGTTTACAAACTTTGTATGCAATTGAAAATGTGTTCTGTAGGTACATACCCTTTATCATAAAATGTACACACTGTAGGTATTTACACGTATTACCTATAAAAATCTTTTTTTATGATAAAAATTACAGTTAAACAAGCGAAATGGCAGTTCGGTTTTGGGTCTCGTGTCGTCGGTAGCTCTATGAAAGAGTATATGAAATATAAGTGACTTCTCGACCCAGGAGAGGCAAATCAGACTCCCAGTGTAAAAACAAACTGGTATTAATCAAGAATTTGTAAAAATATATGGAAATAACTAAGAGATGGATCGGATGATTGAAGATTAAAGACAATTGAAAAATTCTGTGTATGAAGCCATGTGTACAGGGTGTCCCAAATTTGTTGTCCGTATAGGCTATCTCAGTAAATATAAATGCTAGAAAAAATTCGACCACGCATGCCCGTCGTCTTTTTTAAAGATACATTAATTGATGTCTTCGAATTTTCTAGATTCTAATTTCTTTAAAAGTTATAATCTATTTTTAAATCCCCATAAAAAAAATCCAATGGGGTGAGGTCAGGTGACCTAGCTGGCCATAATATCGGCCCTCTATCGTTAAAATTCAAGTTTAAATATTCAACATATCGACGAGCATTATGCGCTGGTGCACCATCTTGTTGGAAATATATGCCATATCTCCTCCCAATTGGCAGGTTATCCAGGGCTTCTTCCAATTTGGTTTCCAAAACTTCACCATATCTTTCCGCTGTTTTGATCAAAAATATGTTAGGCCAAAACATTGTTATATAAGACGGCACACCAAACATTAAAACCAAATTTGCCCTGTTGGACCCGATTTTCCATTACTGCATGCGGATTTTGGTCGTTCCATAGCCTATGGATGTTTCTGTTAAAAATACCATCACATGTGATTCATCGGTCCAAATTTTTTGAAAATATCGGGGTCTTCGGCTAATTTTTGAAGATACCAATGGCAAAAATTACGTCGTCGGTTGGAATCTCGGGGATTTAACGAATGCACTTTCCGAACTTTATAGGATTAAAATTTTTTTTTTTTAATATTCTATGTGCCGATGATCTGGAGATTCCACTGGTGCTCTCAGTTTGTCTAACTGATACTTTGGGGTTGATGTTAACCATTCCAATTACTTCCACAGTTTCAGCTTCTTCATTCTCCTTATTGTATGTTTTTGGCCTTGGAATTTTAAAGGAACCATGATTTTTCAAGTTGTTTTCCAGTCGTTGAAATGTTCTCGCACACGGTTGACGCTTATCAGGGTATCTCTCAAAATATGTATCTGCTGCTGCTTCACCATTCTCGTTTTCCAGAATATAACATTCCATCATGTTAAAATATTCGTAGTTTTTGTAACTCATTTTGCGAACTTTACCACTTTGTGCAAAATGACACTGCACAGTAACAGATCATTGTTTAAATTAATCGGACGACTTGATCCTGCATTCTGAACTTTCATTTTTTTGTTGAATTTTAAAATTGGTTTTTTTATATGTTGTACTTAGACCCATAGTATTACATATCATTAAAATCAGAAAAAAAATATCTTTTTAATAAAGTCAACGCCAACTATAGTTTCCATTGAAAAAAACACAACTTTGAGTCATATCTCTTAACCTAAAAGAGCGAAAAAAAATCTGTCTACACTAATGAATTCTATGATAAAAAGTGCCTACATAATATCTTAAACCTGTATTCGTAACTCAAATATTAACGAAGCATTTGTCAAAATTGGCAAAAATTAAAAAAATAGGTGTATCTCCTAAACAAATGCGAATCAAGAAAATTCAAAGATATCATCCGATGTATCATTAAAAAAGACGACAGGGACGCGTGGTCAAATTTTTTCTAGAATTTATATTTACTGAGATAGTCTATACGGACAACCAATTTGGGACACCCTGTACATAGTGAAGCGAAAAGATGACATGGTTCTATAAAAATTGATAAATATTTAAGAATATATAAATGATGCAAGGGATGAGTTAATCTCAGATTCTTTTAAATAAGACCCTTGATCATGATAAAGAAAATTTTAATAATATAATGTTCTGGCCAAATAGCTTTTAAATTAAGCTAAAGGTCATTCCTCTGAACACAGAATTGTGTTCAGAATTAAGAGGAAGAAGAAGAAGAAACAAGAGAAATTTTCTTAGAGAATAAATGCACGCGCCGCGCGAATGCGCACCACGGTATTTCATGTGGCTAGTTTTGCTTTTGCATAAAAGAGGGCGCGAAAATAAAAAATTTGCAGTTTTCTTTTTTAAAAATTCTACAATTTTTTTTTTAAATTTATAGATTTTTTGTAAGAAGTGGGTATTATTCAAAATTATAGTATTTTAACGTACTATAATACTTTGCTATAGTATATAGTACAGCGACATAAAATTATAGTAGAAATACTATAATTCTAGTACGGTTGGCAACCCTGGCTAAAACAGACCTGGCAAACTGGCGATCATTGACAAGACTGTTTTGCGGGTTTTTGCGCTAATACAAATGCCGTGTGCCTCTATATAATATTCATAAATATGTATATATATATATATATATATATATATATATATATATGCGTGATTAACTAGATATATATTATATATCTATTATTCACGCATGCGGAAAATATGCGATCACCGTGATACCACGTGTGATATTTCTTCTATATATTTTTAAAGTTATTTTCATGTCACTGCATTGCCTAACTACTGTTAGGCAATGCATTAATCAATCTCGACATGAAAATAACTTAAAAAATATATAAAATAAATGTCACACTTGATATCACGGTGATTACATATTTTTCTCATCCGTGAATGTATAGAATAAATATCACACGTAATATTACGGTGAATGCATATTTTCCTCATGCGGGAAAATCAAGTTGTGACTAAAACGTGAAAATCACGTTTGTTATCTGGGTATTTACAAAATGAATACTGTTATATTTAGGTTTATTAAATTTATTCCTATTTTCATATTTATTATATTGATTATATTTATATTTATTTTTATTGAAATTTACATTATGTTTATTTTGAAACTTGAAATTACTTTCATATTTAGAATTTGAATAATTTACATTAGATTTTTGATAATAATAATTATTATAATCACTATTCTTATGTTGGCTATAACGTTGAACTGGTGGATTATATTGCCTTTTGGGACCCATTTACCTTGGCTAGCTGCTTTTTTTCTCCTTGATATTTTCCATTGTTAAACATATTTTAACGGCATCTTCCAATATTTTAACG